CCCCCCCCCCCCCCCCCCCCCCCCCCCCCCCACTAAAAAATGTTTTAAAAATCAAGAAAAAAAATTAAAGACCAATAAAATAAAATGCTAAATAAATGAAGTAAAACGAATTTAAAAGAAACAACAGAAATTTAAGAAATTTAATAAAAGACAAATGCTACGCTAACCAGAGTACCTCAATACCTTGACCATGCCACAAATTTAATTTCCCAACTTTGATGATTTTTATTGTTTGCTGGGTTTTTTCTGTTTTTTCCAGACTTACGTGATGTGATGCTTATGCCGACGCCAGCTTTTCTGAAGACCATTCCTATCCTCTGAGGCACAGAGAGAGTTGTCTGCGCCGCCGTCTCGCTCCAGCTGTTCATCAGCAGGAACATGTCATCAACGCCGATTCCTGGATGGATAGTACCAAAACAGAAACATGTCATCGCCTCCGATTCTTGGACGGTATCAAAAGAGAAACATGTCATCCACCACGATTTCTAAACAATATCATAAGAGAAGCATGTCATCGACTTCGATTCTTGAACGATTCTAAAACAGAAAGTCATGTTATTGACCCAGATTCCGGGAAGATTTCAAAACAGAAAGTCATGTCATCGATTCCGATTCTTGGACGGTACCAAAACAGAAACATGTCATCCACCTCGGTTCCTAGATGGTACTAAAACAGAAATATTTCACCCACCCCGATTTCTGGACGGTTTCAAAACAGAAATATTTCATTCATCCCGATTCCTGTACGATATCAAAGCAGAAAATGTTCGTCCAGTCCGATTCTTGGACGGTATTAAAACAGAAACATGTCATTGACCCCGATTCTTGGACGGTATCAATAGAGAAATGTGTCATCGAATCCGATTCTTGGACGATTTCAAAACAGAAACATATTATCATTGACCCCGATTCTTGAACGCTACCAAAACAGAAACATTTTATTGATTCCGATTCCTGTATGATTTCAAAACAGAAACATGTAATCAAATCTGATTCCTGGACGTTTTCAAAACAGAAACGACGTTAACTCTTAGTAAATAGAAGGCCATTCCTCCTCTACGTGCAGCCAATTCTGCCATCCACCTTTTTAGCATCACAAACGTCCCTATGATTGTTCTCCTGGGTTTATTCTGTGAAAATATGAACTCTGTAGCTTTATAGATCAGAAAATTGCGCCTGCACTAAAATAACACTTTGTGGTAGGGGGTCGGGACACCTTTAAGTGTAAAACTTTGCCCGGGGCGCTGAACTAAGGTACATCTGACTACCTGAATAACGTACAAGACCCCCAAAGTCATATAAAATGGCCTTAAATGATTGCTAAGTCTGTGCATAATGGATTTTGAAAAAAGCATGCTGGTCTTCCCTTAACCTATTAGCATAAAGTAAACTCCAGACTGAGCAGAAATGAATTATCCCTGCAGTAAAGATACAGTTTCGTTATAATTATACAAAAGATGGATTTGTTGAGGTTGGTAGGTTTTTTCTTTATGACGGTAAACAACTTAACCGACTGATGCTGCAGGCAAGCTGAACTGGCGCGCTGTATATTAAAGGTTAATGCCGTTTCGAATTTGCACTTTTTCTTTGCCTGAGGCGTGATCTTGAAAATTTATTTGTGGTAGATACAATACAAGTTTCTAACAATATTTTTAGATTAAAATTGTTGAGAGAATCTGAACAGCCATTCAATAGGACAGATTCAGCGAACTTGGAAACAAGAAGGAGATATAATAATATAGTGGTTTCAGAAGGAAATACCGGAGTCTGGCAGAATCACTTCCTACATTTTTTTGATGATGTTAATGTTGATGATAATCACGATTACGACAACATCATCTATGATAATGGTGATGTTGATGTTGTTGTTGTTGTTGATGATGATGATGATGATGATGATGATGATGATGATGATGATGATGATGATGACGACGACGACAACGACGACAACGTAGAGACGGGACTGGTACTGCTGATAAACAGTACGGACCTAACTTTCCAGTAACACTTACCGAGCGTCAGGAAAGGCATGACTCCAACGATATTCACATAACGGACACCAATTAGTGTGACCAGGCCAAGGGCTCCCAGTGTACCCAGTAAAGAAGCAACGACACCCCCGTTGGCAAGAAGAGCTCGGGTGGACAAACAGTCCCCACCTAGAGGCAAGAGATAATGTATGGATTATTGTCGCTGGTTTTTAAATTGGACAAAGATTCAGCCTTACAGATCCAACAGTCTCGTTTTTGTATCTAGAAAATTCACGAGAGTATAGTTTAATTTGAACGTTACATTATCCTAACTGCTTAGAACAAAAGCAGAGCTTTCATGTAAAACTGGCTGGTAAATTTCAATTTTAAAAAATACTATAATGTAAAAACATAGGTATATACTCATTATTTTCAGTAACTATAAAATGTTCTGTGCTACAGTCATTATTCTCAGTAACTACATAATGTTCTGTTAAGTTCATGGTTATTGGTTTGAACAATCAGTCAAATCCTAGTGAGTTTCAGTAGAAAAACAGTATAGCACAAGCTACAATGGGAATACTGTATAACTGATAAAAACCAAGGACGACAAAGAGAGAAAGCCAAAGGGTATTATTAGACCTATAGACCTACAAAAGTAGAAACTACGAGAAGTAATTCCACCCAAATATCTATGAGAGAAAGAGGGGG